TGCTAATAATTTTTCTGTAAGTAATAGTGTCTGGCCATATATTAGCCTTATATAGTAATGTCATTTTGAATATCTAGTAGGTACCTCCTTCTGTATTTTTATAATATTAACGTGGCGACGTAAGAGAATGCAATTATCCCGTGGGTATCATACGAAGCGATAGAGCGAAATTGAAACGGGAGATGAGCTGCAGTATCTTCCAGACAATAGTTCAAAATAGTAGGAAACCTAGTTTGCCAACACGCAAAGCATGACAAATGTGGAAAATAGAGGGTATTTACGAGAAAATCTATGGCGGAGACCAGCGTTAAACAGTGACCTTGGACTTTCGACCTTTCTGCCAAGTCCATCAACAACTGTACGTGCAATGCTGTTCCGGTCAAAAAGGTTAAAGGTCAGGGGTTCCCAAACTATTAAGATAATGGAACACTCCCGCCAAATCCCTTTTACTTTATGGAACCCACATCAAAAATGATTACATACTTAAATAGTGCATTTAAAATATAATTTTCGATAACTGCCTATGTAACTATGTAGGTAAAGAAAATACCATTACTGTTATGTAGCAGTAATGGTCTTTTCTCATTACATATTTTGCACTGTTTCAAAAATAATTTTTGTACCTAAGTGTGCAATTATTTAACAAGCAAAAATAAATAATTTTGCGGAACTCTAGTGATATTTCCACGGAATCCTTAGGTTCCGCAAAAAACACTTTTCAAATTTCTGGTAATGATAGCAAAATTACAGGCTTAATGAGATTATTAATGTGATATACCTACCTTAGTCCTCAAATAACACATTAATTTTTCTTTTTTGTTTTAAATTGGTGGCAGGCATTCATTGACTGCAATAGGTGTGTGGCCGTGAAGTCGTTATTCACTTCCTTTTTATTTAAAAAAAAACTAGGGCTTCATCAGAGCTTACCATTAGCAGTGATTTTCGCCAAGCACTGGTCAAATATAAGTAAAGTGAAGGTCAAAAAAAGCTGTCATAAGAACTGCTGACAGATTAAAAACTCAAAACAATGGAATATTTTTTTAAATGGTCAACATGTTTTGCACATACTGCTATATCAGCATGTCAGTGACGTGAAATTACAGGATTTCACCCATTCGAAAGTCAAACACGCATATGATACAATCAAGTATATACACTGTATTATTGTATATGTGCGTATACATGTACAAATGCTCTCTGCTGTATTTTGCTATATTTACTACGCATCGCTAGTCTGGCGTAAGCGCAGCATGCCACGAGCATGTCGAGGTCATTGGTGACGCGAGCCCTTAAGTTCTTCCAAAATCAAATCAAATCATAAATCGCTCAACGCGGCAAAAAAGTTTTAATTTTAAAAACCTCTGAGGAGTAAGATTGCATGCTCACTGTTTTAAATTATACTATCTTCCTTACTCATCAAGCCGGAATCCAGCAGTAAATGCACTACTGCTTGGTGGTGGAAATAGTTTGAAAAACGGATACTCAGATTTTTTTATAAAACTGAAGTGACAAAAGAACTCATAGTCCTAATATACAATATGTAACAAAAACCCTGTGGTCCCCGTTAATTTTGTTATCAGAATCAGAATTCAAGCATATAGAAATAACTTAACTTCTGAAAACTCGACATAAAAATAGTGAATTTTAATTTTACTTTGCCTGGCGTATGTGGGCTATGAGAAAGCCTTTGATTGCGTCAAAATTAAGGTGGTGCTACAGCCTCTTCAGCGGTTCCAAGTTGACTCTCGGTATATCGAAGTGCTGAAGTGTTTGTACAGTGGGGCTACGATGGCTATCCTAGTAGAGAACCAGAGTTCAAAACCTATCCAATTGCAGAGAGGTGTAAAACAAGGTGACGTTATATCCCCAAAACTCTTCACCGCTACATTGGAAGACGTTTACAAGCTACTGGACTGCAAAGAATGCAGTATTAATATCAATGGCGAGTACTTCACTCACCTTTGATTTGCGGACGATATAGTCATTATGAAAGAATCGCTGGAGGACCTAGGCCCTATGCTCAATGACTAAATAGTGTCTCCCAACGGATAGGTCTTAAGATGAATATGGACACACCAAGATAATGTTTAATGTCCATGTCACACCTACACCGGTAGTTGTTGGGAGCACGATGCTCGAAGTTGTTAACGAGTACGTTTACCCAGGACACACAGGACTTGGTAAGTCAGTCAGAGCGTGTTGCCAGTGATGACTTACGGATCTGAGACGTGGTTCTTTACTGCTGGCCGTATGAGGACGCTCAAGGTCGCTCAGTGAGCTATAGAGAGGGCTATGCTCGGGGTTTCTCTGCGTGATAAATTTGGAAATGAGGATATCTACAGAAGAAACAGAGTAACCGACATAGCCCAACGGATTAGTAAGCTGAAGTGACAATGAGCCGGCCATATAGCTCGAAGAAACGACACCCGATGGGGAAAAAAGGTTCTCGAATGGCAGCCTCGTATCGGTAGGCGTAGTGTAGGGTGACCCCCACTAGATGGAGTGACGACCTGGTAAGACATGCGGGAAGTCGATTGATGCAGGTGGCTCAGGACCGTGCTTTATGGCATTCCTTGGGGAAGCCTATGTTCAGCAGTGGACTTGTGAAGGGCTGTAATGATGATGAAATGTTAATGAAATAACATTTGTAAATTTTATGTGGATGGATTACCTCTGCTGGAAATTATTATGAGCGAAACAGCAAGAAACGGCGACTGACGGCGGCGTACATCAAAACGGAGTGCGCGCGCGCGCATCTTACCTACATTTACTGCACTCAGGTCGTGATCTCGTCACATTGCTCAGCTGTTATCACTTCTGTAGTCGATTATCACAACTTTTAAAATTGTATTTCGACCGATTGTGATAATTATGCAAAGACACTAATTGATCACTATGTATACTTGACGCCCACGAAGATGCTATTCAATATGTCCACCTTGTATCTCTATACATTTGCGACACCGGCTTAAAATATCTGAACGCACGCGTTGCTTAACAGATATTTTGGACTTTATTATTTCAAAGGATGCGAAAAGCGTCCGTACTTTTCACCGCTCATTATGTGGTCAAGAAAATACGGACCAATAATTTTGTCACCTTTAGTTCCCGTCCACATATAGATTTTCTATCGGTGTTGAAAGTGGCTTGGTTTACAAGAATGCGGATTTGTCTTGTCTTCGCCGACGCAATTGTTTATTTCGTGGACTAGCAAAGCGCTCCTCGTAAAGTCTTTGTACTTCTGCATAATTATAATCACTAATCACATTTCCCGAGACACATCAAAATATTAAAATACTTCTCGTTTGAGTAAGACGTCGCACAGTAGTCACTCACGGCGGATACTTAATTTCGCATTATAAAAAACAGATTTGTCTAGAAGTAATTACTACTATGTACTAATTTACGCGGGTGATAACAAAAATCAATATCAGAGCAACAAACAATCACACTACTGGTGATTGTTTGTTGTGCTTGTGCGTAGACGTGGCAAAGCGACTGTACTCTATAACAAAATTATGATATTTTCTGAATCGAGGAAATATGTTGTGATTTTTTATGTAATTTTTTAATAATAGTTATTATTTATTTACTTCAGGCAGAACCCGTAAGTGTTATTAATATTAATTATTATTGCAGTCCATAGACTTCCGCAGCAAGCTTCAAGTAAAGAAGGCTGTAGGTGGGTTTTCACTTCTGAAGACTTAAATAGAATGCCTTCTAGACGATTATTATATTGGATATACACACCTTTCAGACCGAGACACAGCAGTACGACACTGTCCTTTGGCTGCAGAGTTGTAACTACCCAGATGGACTTCCCTTATCGTTGGTCCTTTCACGCACCGTTCTACCACCACCTAGTACATTTATAAAAAAATGCCAGCTGTTGCCAACCTACCTACCAATCGTGGGTACTAAGACAAATATCTCCTATGAGGCAATCTATGGAGAAGGCATTTATTCTGCAGTGGACTTTTGATAGTCTATAATAAATTAAAGAATCAAAATTGAATAAAACTCTATTTACGGATTTTATCGCGTTTGATTAACTGTTTAACTTATTTTTAATTCCCGACGTTACGTTACGGGGGGCACTTAGATGTTTGGCGTCTCAAGTTCATAGTTAGCCCGGCTACCTTCAGTTTTAGAATATTAATTTTTGGTATGTTCCGTAAGTTATTCATTGCTACAAATTCGGGAAAGTTTGATATCGACACTGAACTACGACGTAATAAGTATGAAATATCTTGACGTGTGACCTCCAAATCTTCCTTACAGATATTTTTTTAAACAGACAATCCTCACCACTCCGATAATTTCTTCGTGGGGAATTTTTTGCGGTGGTAATGCTCATTCCAATTAAGTTCATTCCGTTCGCTAATACTTTTATTGTCGATTCATCCGGTGCATGATTTAATAGATTATAGATATAGTGGTCAACGGTTGTGTTTCGTTCTGGCGTTGACTTAGATGTTTGGCATTTGATTTGATCGTAAATTTTGGTATTTTACTATTTGTTTATTTCTGAATTCATTGTATTTCGATGTTTCTCGTTTGTATAAAGTTTTCTATGCAATTATCAAAATCAAATCTCGTTAAAACTGTCTTTAATTTACAGGCCAAATTTTCTATGGTATTATTTATGAAATGTAGATCGAACGGTTTCTGCTGAATCACCGTTCCTCGAATGTCCTTTTTTGTTGATATTTTTACACACGTAGAAATGAGATTATAGTCTCTGCATCTCTTTAATAAATATAAAGAAGTTGTATGTATATCTTGCGTGCTCGGTTTTAAGATTTTCTAATCGGCGAATTTTATTTGCCAGTCCGTACTGGGTTCACGGGGAAACGAAACCGAAACGTCGAGAAGTAAAAATAAGTAAAACAGTTAATTAAACGCAATAAAGTCCCTAAATAGAGTTTTATACGATGTGTAGCGTCGCGTAAATTTAAGAAATCATTATGAGAATCAAAATTAACTTCTTCTGTCCACAGGTAGCAGACATCTTCCGTGGCAGCAATTTCAAGGCGTTCTACATCACCTGTGCGTTAGCTTTCTTCCAGCAGTTCAGCGGTATCAATGCTGTCCTCTTCTACATGAGCAACATCTTCAGCGCGGCTGGTTCTAATCTGGACTGGTCGATCTCTACAATTATCGTTGGTGCCGTACAAGTAAGTTGAAGGGTCTTTCATTTTGTAGATTAAATTCATACATTTTTACGCATTTTGACACTGCTTCCTGTCGCGGATCCAGATAGAAAGAACTTAGTGTTGTTTCTTTAAAAAAATTGTTTGAAATAATACCTGTCAGAAAATCGGTCAACTAGGCAACACTCCACTTCTTTACTTTTTAAACTGCAGACGTATAAACAATTATACAAAATGTAACAAATATCCTGTGGGTTCCGTTAAGTGCGTTATTAGACAGACAACTACTTACTTTTGAAGACCATAGACTATAAAAAATTTAAATGAAATTAAAATATATATTTTTTTATACTTCATAACCCTTAACTGTAACGCGCACCGGTAAGGCCGGGTTTTTGAAAATACTCTTACTTCCTGGCCCATGTAGAGGCTTAAAACGAAATATACTTGATTTGCAAATTAAAATTAATTTAATTTTTTTAAAGTCGCGTTTTCTGAAGTAAAGTAGTTTAACCACAGGGTTTTGTGACAAGTTGTATTTGTACTCTACTCATTAAGCTCTTAATAACGATACCCCACATACTAGAGTAAAAATTTTAGAGCTGTCACCTATTCCGTCTACGACCTAAAGATCAGTGACGGACTGACAGGCAGACGCCAGACAAACAGAAAGACAACAGAATGACATTAATAAGGCTGCATTTTACCCTTTTAGTACGGAACCTTAAAAATAGATACACACACATTTTTTTCCCCTTAACCACTCGTGGTAAGCTTAAATTGCTTGTGTTACGAGTGGTTCACGCCAGTAGTGGAATGGTGGATTCGAACCCACGACCTTTTTGAGTTCGCGGTCTGCGCCCTGCCATTAGGCTACTGTCGTTTATAAATTATTATAAAGATTATAAATAATACTTACTAACTAGACTTTATGACGAAGTCTAATTTACCGCTGGTTCAAGAAATTCATATATGACGTTGATAGTTCATTATTATTGTAATCAGTTAGATGCTATTGTCCATCGCCTGTTCCATTTCCCACTGTCGTATCTTACGACACACACGGGATGATAATCTTCGAGCAATCTTGCAATCTTCTAGGAGCCACTCGATGGGCGATCTCCTTTTTCGGTACTTATAATAGATTAAAATATAACTCAATGAATATTTTTATTTGTTCAGTTGGTGGCTTCAATGATAACACCGCTGGTGGTAGATAGACTTGGAAGACGTATCCTGTTATTGGTGTCCACTTGTGGCACTGCCATTGCACTGGTGAGTGCGTAAATATTTATTCAATTTCATTAAGTTCCATTCATATATTCCTTGTTATTTTTCTTTGCGGGTGATAAAACACACAGTATACCTGATTATATCCTATCCTTGATTAAAAATCATAATGCAGATGCGTTTTTACACCAGAAGACTTAGATGCTATGCTTCGTTTTTAGCAAAAAGTTTCTCCGATTCCGACTCCCGTTTTGTGTGGTAAAATAGGTATTTCAAGTATCAATAAAAATATTTGCCGAAACTATTAACACATTCTTGCTATTTTACGGGCGGTTTATTGGTGCGCTATTACAGAAGTCTGCTGCGCGAAAACGATGAACCCTTTAAAACCGTTCTTTACAGTTTCTTCAGAGTTTAAGTTTTTGCCTATCAAAATGTTATCTAAGCTAAATGTTGCTCTATGTCAACAGGTCAAGGTAGTCAGTTCAACAAAACAGCAATTTCATAAATATGAAGCAAAAACGTTATATATTATATACCTAGATAAAATAACAGTTCATAAAATTTCCAGGGTCTTCTAGGCATGTACTACTTGTTAAGCGATCAGGAAAGCCCAGTCGTATCCAGCATTGGCTTCCTGCCGGTTTTATCAATGGTACTGTTCATCGTAACGTACAGCTGGGGGCTGGGACCCCTTCCCTGGGCAATGCTGGGCGAGTTGTTCCCCATCGAGGTCAAAGCCGTCGCAACGCCCTTAGTTTCGGGTTTCTGCGGGATTCTAACGTTCTTGGTGACTCGGTAAGTAATGTTTTTTTTTTTTAATAAAGTAATGTAAGGTTTCGCTATATACGAGTCTTAATGTTACACTGTAATTTCTTTAAGATAACCCACAAAAAAGTAATCAAAAAGGAACAAAATTTACGAGTAGGATTTATTATATAGCAATATAGTAAACCCTAGTCTACCTCTATCTCTGCTACCTACGCTACCTCTTATAAATAGAAATGGGGGGGTTTTAGTGAGATTTGTGAGAGTGATTCATTATACATAATATTGTGTTTTTAAAATATGTATTGTACTATAAAGATAATATATAAAATTACAAATCTCAAAAGGATAAAGTGATTAGTACTACTACTAGTATTTGAGTACTAATTAATTGATAAAGATAAAAAGTTCCAAAGCTTTAACTACAGCTTTGAGTTTAGTTGTTGTAATGTTCTTAAATAAACCAGTGTTCTTATATTGTGCCAAGCTATGGGTTTATGAACTGTACATTATTTTTACTGCGCAGGTATTTCGAGCCAATTGCAAACGCGGTAGGGATGTACGTGGCGTTCTGGTTGTTCGGCGTGTGCTGTCTCGCCGGGTTCTTCTTCACGCTGTTCCTCGTGCCCGAGACCAAGGGCAAGAGTCTGCAGGAGATACAGGACATGCTGGTCGGCAGGTGGGTTGTTATCCACTTTTTTCGTCTAAAACGGCTCCAAAGAGTCAGTAATTCCTGCGGAATGTATACGCTTTTAAAATAAAGTAACAGAAAATATGCAGAACTTGTCAATCAAAAGGTTTAAAAATTTTATTTAGCAATAATTGTTTAGTAAGGGTTATTATACTATTAAAAAGTATATGATTGTAATAACCCCTGGGAATGAAAGAATTGCTACAATGGTACTTAGGGGATCGCTAACATGTTTCGTACTTATAACAAAAACGTCATGTCTGTTTTTCTGACTAATCTACAAAATGGCTGGACTGATTTTGACGGGGCTTTCACTGTCAGATAGCTGATGTTATTTTAGAAAAATAATTAAGGGTCCGCACAAAAACAAGTAAAACCCAAAATTACACGCGGGCGAAGTCGCTGGGAACAGCTAGTATTGAATAAAAATTATTCTATTATATTTTACAATCATGTTCATTTTTAGAAAAGATATTACATATTATGATGATACTCGTATTATGTTTGTTCCTATAGTATTTATAATTTGTTACAGGAAATCCAAGCCAGGGAAGGCATAAGTTTCAACTAATAAAGCGAATTTTATTTTATATTTTAGTAAAACAATCGTTAGACGCTCTTGTATTATGTTTTTTAAATGTTAACATATTCTGTGACTATGATTTGACTTCATATTGCAAGAATGTGCGATAATTTTTACGATGTTAAGACGTATATTAATCGAGACAGTATATATATATATATATATATATATATATATATAGTATATACTTACAAGATATTTTCATCAGGTTCAGTTTAAAGACATATACTCTCTTTGAACTGTGATATTATTTACTAAAATATTTTTTTTAATTAGAAATCGCTACACTTTTGTCATATAAAGTGTATTGGCACAAACCACATGTTTTGTGATTCGATGGTATGCAGGGTTATTTATTGAAGTAGTCAAATTTTTAACTTACGTTCAAATATATAAATAATGTTTTTTTTTTTTGAAAATACGAGTAAATAAGGCTTTTGATTTCTTTAAGTTTAAGTTTAATAGTGATTTGAGTGTGGCAACGTATTTCGACCGAGCCTTACGAATGTTTGCGTGCGCAGTAAAATCAGTTAAATAATGCATTACAACACAATTTGTATTTAAAAGATATAATTTATATAAAAAGACAGAATATTTAAGATTTTTTAGATTAATTTTTCTTCACGATTTTCCTATAATAATTATTCTGAGCCTTCTCTGCGAATTTTATCGGCCAAATTTATATCATTAAGTAATTTATATGTATACTACGTATATAATTTATATGTATATACCTATACTATACTACGTATACCTCTTAACTATACCACAATACCGTACTACAAATATTGTACGGTATGTTTTACTTAAGTTACGCATAAAATTTACAATATTTTATAATTTTTAAATCTTATTAAAATTTATTGAAAATCTATTAGAATTCATTAAATTAAAAACAAAACAATAAATGATTTAATGAAACACTATAAAAAATACTTGACATAAACTCATGAAAACTTTTTGTACATTTTTAGCTTGAACTGTAGTATTTTTTAAAGTATTTCAAATTACAGATCTACAACGAGACTCGATTTACAGATACACAAAAATTCTGTGAATCAACTCTCGTTGCACCTTTGGTCCAGTTTAATTAAATCTTTAGATAGATGTTGTAATTCTTGTACAAAGAGGTCACTGCTGCTTTGCTGGCTCTGACACGATTTTAATTTTTATAATAATTAAGTAATTCTACAATTTTTCAATTAAAAAGTGGATTTACATCAATTGTACTGTTAAATAATATACAATACACAGTACTTAAGTTACCGAGTATTCAAACTTGTAAAGTTAGTGCACTCGCATCGCTCTTGTGCTAACTTACGCGGTTCAATAATCGGATATTTAAGTCCCTTGTATCGTAATGTACTGTTATCTTTATTACAATACAAGGGACGAGGTATAGGTATTTTGGTGCATAACTTTTTTTTTTTTTCATTTTCTAAAAGTCAATCAAAAGATCAGTTTTTAATAGTACTTCATTAATCCATTGAGTGAAATATTCTCAAAATTTTAAAGAAAGCTACCTATCCTTTAAAACTAACCATCTTATTCTGTAAAGAAATCAAGTTGTAAATTTACGTAGTTGAAAAAAAATTTATAGCATTTATTATTTATATTATTTATTTTATGTTTATTTATCTTTATTTAAGACCAGTACCAAAGTACAAAGTTAGACGCTGGGTGCTACCGTTTGAACAGGAACTTCTTGTGATAATATAATAGAAACGAATTTAGATTGATATTTTTTGTACATAATAAATATAAGCTATTGCTGTAATTTGTTTTTAAATAAACGTTATGTTTTTAGACCTGTATTTTACTTGAATACCTGGAAAACGTAGTTCCGTCCACAATTATCCATGTATAACTTATGCAGTGTGGGTGACTTAAAAAAACTACCCCCCAATTGAGTGTTGATGAGGTGTCTATGGAATGGAAAAGGTCTGAAAATTCTCAAAATATATAAATACTCTTACTGGCGAAAGTGAGGGGCGTTTAAAGGTTTGAGACATCTGATACTATGATTACCAATCGCCTGCCAAAAAATGTAATGTCTTCCAGACTGAATTTAGGTCACGGGGGCCAGCCTAAACGGAGACTAGTCATCGATGCAGGATAGGGTTTTAATACTCAAATGAATGCGTAAGCTCAGGTGCAGTCTATATTCCCTTACTCTTCTTCAGCTTCTGAAGGACTCTCATTAATTCCGTTCCCTTTAATTCATCCTCGTACATGCAGGCAGCTTATCTTTGTGTCATACCTTGGAGGAGTCTTATGTTCAACAGTAGATTTATGATGGGCTGTAATGATGTTGATGCTAGTTTCTTGACATAATTCAAGTAAGTGACTTTTCTGAATTTATTTGCCCTGTGATAGAGTCTGGTGTATCAACCTCATTTCGGCCAGTGGGTATCCTCAGAGCAAATAATACTCGTGTCATTAGAAAGAACTATGAGAAATGCTAGAAAATACTGTTACAAGCTTAGGGTTCGTGACAGTAAAAACTGCCGATTGAATTACTAAAATTGACACTTTAATTACTGAACACCGATTAAAACTTCAATCACACTAATAATTATTCACACTTAACACTTTATGCACTTTATTTCACTCCGAAAGCTTCGCTCGTATCGCCAATTCAATACTGCCCCGGTAGCGGGCTTCAACGCCTTTATATACGCCTTTTTCACCGATACATCCAGAATATTCCAGCAAGTACCGGCCCCCGATTGACCAGGTGCAGAAAGTATGGAGCTTTCCAGAAAGCTTAGTTCTTCTATTAGATACCAGATGGCGCTGTTGGTTTCAGTCATTGCATTTTCAGGAAAGCTCTCCTTTCTCTGTTTCCCGACACTAGATGGCGCTAGTGCCAGGTACCAGACATCAACTTAGGCGCGCAACAATACTTATCGCTTCGGATGGATGGCGCTGCCCCATCTTGTTTACACCCGCTGTATTTTATAGACCGGTGGCAGCGCAGACATAGATATGAGGCATAGATAGAGCGGGTGAGGGGCAACAGCGTCAAAAGTGTGAGTCTCTTCTTTTATAGAAGAAGGGGCAAACGAGCATGCGGCTCACCTGATAGTAATTGTCAACCGTCGCCTATGAACAACTGCAACACGAGGGGAATTGCATGTGCGTTGCGGGCCTGGTAAAAAAGAGTAAGCTCGTTAGAACAACGTTTGTTACCACGAGCGTTGATCCGCCTGTCGAGGTAAAGATTAAGGCAAATACTCTACAACGGGAGAAATTCATATCTAGCAGTAGATTTTTACGTGCTAATGATAATTACATAGAATAATCTTCTAAGATGATTATCGTTACCGTTACAGCCTATTAAAGTTCACTGCTATACATAGACCTCCCCTATAGACTGTTTCCTAGAAGGGTGTTTGCCACAGTTGCCACGCTTGGCAAGCGGGTTGGCAACCGTAGTTTTTTATTTATAGTTTAGTGTTTCCCTCCGTCGCCTCTTACGACACTCACGGGATGATATGGGGTAGATATTTTTACACCGTCACTACATGGTAAGACGATTAATGTGCTTTATATTATTTACATTATACATTAAAATATACGCAATCTTAGTTGACTTTCATGCCATATGAAATGATTATATGGTTGATAACAAAGTGTCATAAATACTCTGCATTGTACTCTAAAATATTGATAAGTAGTGATGCGCTGCAATGGGGGTGAGGAACTTGGCACGCTTGCAGCTGTCGCTTCCAAATCTGTTATAGATATATTATTATTATTATAATAAGTATGATCGGTATATCTTGTCAGCTGTTTAAGTAAACACAGATTTACGTTCAGCATCCACTTACCATCAGGTTTCATTTCACCTGCTCATTTGTCAGCATTAGTCTTAAAAACAAGATAAAACAGAATATCAACGAAAAAGAGCAGCTAAATGCTGCTGTGTATTTATGATGAGTGACGAGAACTCGGACCCCTTTAATGACAATGAGACATTCTTCTTATTCTTGAGGAATGTTAACGCATCAGCGTTTCACATAATCGAAAATAGGAGACGTAGGCGTCAATAGGTCACATCTTTCAGCTTGCCAAATACCATCAAGTGGACTGTGAGCTCGCTTCTCACTTATACTTGTATAAAAATCAACAAACATTTCATTCATTCGTTCATAACGACCTATTAAAGTTCACTGCTGAACATAGGCCTCCCTATAGATTACATCATAAAGAATACATTTGCCATAGATTGACGCTTGACAAACGGGTTCATAACTGCAGTGTATTTTTTTTATATTTTAGTCGTTATTAAGAAGACACTTCTTATTTCCTGGTTTGTTTTTCTCTGCCGCTTCTTACGGCGCCCACGGGATGATATGGGGTAAAAAAGTGATTCCTGCCCTTACTTCAGAAATGTGGTTAGCTCTGTGCGAACCAATGTGGCGTACGTAGGCTTTACTTTACTTAATTTTTTTAACGATGAGCTCCATGAATACCGATATATTTATGTGTATTATACAGTCCTAACTTCTAAGCAATCACATCACTGCGAAGTTCATTCTTATGTACAATATACGAATCTTTGTCCACCGAATATCTAATTAGTTTTAAGAGTTTTTTGATGTGACAGTAAAACATCTTCTTTTCTTTTTTTCTTCTTTTTTTAAAAAACGTTACCCCTACATTAGGATTTTTTCCTGTATCGCGGGGGCAGTTTACAAACATAAATTGCACAAGGACAAACATCCAGACCCGGAACAATTATTTGTAGGCTATAACAAATACTTGATCCGTGCGGGAATCGAACCCGCAACTCCCAGCGCAGCCACTCATTGCTAAGCCACTACGCCACGGAGTCGTCGTCATCCTCAGATAAGAAACCTTATTTATTATTTAATAGGTAAGAATATAAAAAATATTTATAAAATCGATCTATTAAACTACTACCTATTAAATCAACAAGCAAATACAATAAAAATAACATTATTTTTTTCT